ATCTACTATGTGTGACCTAAAGAGACCCTGTGGCCCGGCACTCAGTGTCCCTGCATCACCTCCCACATCCACCTGTGCTTCTGTAATTGTCACCAAATAAAAGGCTTCATTTAAAACGCATTCCTTCCTCTTGTCCCCGTCCCCTTGTCATCCCCCCCCCCCAGGAAAGTTGGCTTCTGTATTTTAGTAGTTGCAAAGGTCTATGAACTGGAAAAGGGTCTCAAGGTTGCATACCTCAGTGGGACCCTGAATTCACTATGGCTTAGAGTAGGTGTGGGAGGGGGGCTGTGGTCTGTGGTCTGGGGATTGGAGACAGACTACCCTGTTTCTAGACCAGAGTCAGTTGGCCTTGCCATGCAGGGCTCCCTTTCAAACTTTACTTCCTTGTCCCTTGTGGGCCGTATCTGCAGCATTCCAGGTAGCTGATGAGCCCATGTAGTGCAGTAGGGATCACAGACTGTCCCCAGCCACAGGAGTAAGGCCTGGTCCCTGCGCACCTGCCCTGCCCTTAGGACTCTGATCCTCAAATAGTGAGCTGAGTGCCTAGATTTCCTCCTCAGCTGCTGCCCAGGGTTCCTTCAGCGTTGTTAATGAAGGGGGTGGCGGGGGAGGACAGGAGCAGGTCATGTGGCCTGCACCTCTGTGTTCATCCTCATACTGGGCCTCAGTCACCCCAGGAAGGGCCACGCTATAACACAGGGCTCCTGGCACTTGGAGACCCTTTCTCAGTCCACCCTCCTTGTAGGTTTATTGATTGACTTTGAGGGACTGGTGAACTAAAAGGAAGGACTGGTTAGCTAGGAGGAGGAGCTAGTGAAGTAGGTTTAGCCTAGGGAGATTCCCAAGAGAGTGTTCTGCTGAAACACTGGCCTTGGTCCTGCTTTGGGTACAGCCCTGGCCATCAGCTGTTGGATGGATGGGTGCATGTGGTCTGGACAGCTCTTCTGGCCACATCCCAGGCTGTTTTTCAAGTGACCACTATTGAGAAACGCCCCCAGCCCCTCACTGGGGGATTTTAGAGAAATGTTCTTTCTACCACTGAGCCGTGCCCCCAGACTTTGTGGGGTTTTTGTTTTTGTTTTGAGGCAAGCTTGCACTCAGCCCCGGCTAGCCCTGAACAGTCCTCCTGCCTTAGCCTCTTAAGTGCTAGGAATGTGTCCCATGCCCAGTGTTACTCTTTATGCCATATTTTGAAAAGTAAAAGTGCCAAATAAGGGGTGTCCACTTAGCATACTAAGGTGCGAAGAGGACCCTAAGACTTCTGTGTCCCTTGATCCCTGAACACCGGGCCCCTAGAGCTATTCTGCCCTTCTTGGTGGTGAAGGTAGGAGAAACAAGTCCCAATGGCCTTGCCCAGTGCTGTTCACCCCAAGTTGAACTTGGGGTTTCCCAGGCTGTAGGGAACACTACCTTTGGTGGCTCTTGTCTATGAAAGATGCAAGGGTTTAAGTGACCTGGCCTAGTTATTTGTAGTTTGTACAGGCCAGCCTGGCCCTGAGGTCCAGAGCTCACCACCTCTGTAATTCCAAGGATGTTCCAAGTTGTCCTACCCAGTGGGTGCTCAAAAGCCCTGGGTATTGCCTGGCTAGGGGCCCAGGACAGCAGCCCCCCCCCCGTCAGGAGAGAGTACTGTAGTCACACTGCCTGCTGCACACATCGTCAGTGGGGGCTGGAGGGACAGCTTCATTATTCACCTGCACAGACAGCTGGGGTGTGCCAGAATACCCACCCTTGCCCCTGCAGGTGCTGAGGCTTCAAAGCAGTCAGGAGGTTTCAACCTGGGCTTCCAACATCCATGGTTAAATTAAACCTGAGAAAAAAATGAGTAAGAAGCTCACTGGGACAGGTCGGTTACTGGCCACCTGGTGATGTCAGAGGAGAAAGTGCTGCCTGTGCCTTTGACTTGTAGAAAACAATGGGGTATCTGCTCCAAAACAGATCCTAGTGTGAGGTGACAGGGTAGCAGCAGGAATCTACTTACAGGTGCAAGGATGAAGCCTCCTTGCTTACTTGTGGGGACGCTCAGCACTCTTGCAGGTGTTCCTGGGCACACCCCACTTAGCAGCAGACACAGAAAGTGGACTTTCGGTCGGACATGTATATGAACACCTAGGACTCAGGGAGACTGAGGCAGGATTGCTGCCAAGTGGAGCTAGCCTGGGCTTTGCAATTCTAGGCCAGCTTGGGCTACAGAGTATGATGGCTAATCTTGGTTGTCAACTTGACACACCTGGGAAGAGGGACCCTTAATGGAGCATTTTCTTGATCCTTAATTGATGTAGTAGGGCCCAGCCCACTGTGGACGGTGACATCCCTAAGGAGGTCGTCCTGGGCAGAGGTAGCAAGTCAGGGAGCAAGCCAGTCAGCAGCGTTCCTCCATGGTCTCTGCTTCAGTTCCTGTATCCAGGTTCCTGCCTTGAGCTCCTTCCCTGACTTTCCTGGTGATAAACTGGAACCTGGAAGTATAAGCTAAATTACACCACCCCTGCCCCCAACCCCACCCCATCAGGTTGCTTTTGATAATGCATAATGTTTATCTCAGCAACAGAAAGCAAACTGGGACACAGCATGAAACTGTCTTGAGTACATGAGTGAATAAATGCTTCAGACGTCCTTGGCGCCAATCCTGCGATTGCCTCCCATTGTGCTGTTACCCCAGGCTCGGCAGACTGACAGGACTGGTGCATTTCGGCTGCAGAAACATCCTTATGCCCAAAAGCTCGAGTCCTTGTCTTGGGGATGATAAGGACCTACTCTCAACCCTTGGGTAGAGACAGATGCCTTGTCATGGGGCCCTCCTGGGTGTAGTGGGGACCAGGAGGACAGCAGCAGCCACTTCCCTGAGGAAACATCTGGGGTGAGGAGTGGGCAGTCTTGACCTCAGCTCCTGAAGCTGTTGCTGGGCACCAGGATGAGATTGTCCTTCCGAAGGCCTTCTCCATCCCCAGAGTGGCCTGGTCAGCTCTGCCTGGTAGCAAGGTCCTCATGCCAAATCTGCTGGTAGAAAGGCTGGACAGATAGCTCAAGAGCACTGGCTGCTCTTCCAGAGGACCTGGATTCAGTTCCCAGCACCCACATGGCTGCTCACAACCATCCCTAACTCCAGTTCCAGGGCAGCTGACACCCTTTTCTGGCCGATGCCCTTTTCTGGCTTCTGTGGTATTTATGCATGTGATGTACTTGCACGCATGCAGGCAAAACATTCATACACACTTTTTTAAAATTAAGTCTTTAAAAAAAAAAAATCTACCCAGACTAAGACTGCCTGCTCCCCCAACTCCCGGTCAGTATAAACCATGAGAATGAAGCAAGGGCTCTAGTGTTGATACAGACGTGGATGGGGACCCCAAATGTGTGCCCTTGGGAGGCCACTGACTGGTCCCAAAGCGTCAGCATATCAAGACCTACTGCTTTCCTCCCTGCTGTTGGCTGTGGTCGAGATGACAAGGTATCCAGCCCAGCCCACATGAGGACCCACCACAAGGTGTGGGGGCCACTTCAGCCTGGCCCCCTAAGCATCCTCAGACAGCACCTCTTCGATCCCCAAAGGAGGAACCAGTCTTCATTCAGACCCGCTTCCTGACTTGAGTGAAGCCTTCATCATGAACCAGGGAGGTTTTAGAAACTCCTCTCGGAGCTCCCCATTTGCATGACAGTCCCTCAGGTCCAGGGTCAGCAGACAGAGAGGGGCCAGTACTAGGCTAGGGAGATGCTGAGGTCCCACCCACACAGGGGGAAGCAGAAGTTTCCACCCTCCCTAGCTCATTGTCTTCCTTTGGGATCAGTCTGCCTACCTCAGTGCCCCGACCGCCCCCAGGATTGACCTTGGCCCTGGTGATGCAGTGCCACCCACATGGCTGTGGGGACAGAGACATGCCTGCCCTAGCCTAGGACTGTTTGCAGTGCTGGAATTTCTATAATACTCAGCCACACAGCCTCTAGGACCTGGGCTAGTGGTCAGGGAGACCAGGTTACCTGCTCAGGATCCTCTCCTTGACCCCAGCATGGCCACCTGTGGCCCCTTGCCCTGGATATCACCTCAGATTGTGCCTCTCTAGTCCAGCAAGTGCAAGGTGGCTGCAGAGGTGGGAAGCAGGAGTTTGCTGGTCCGCTGGGGCTGGGGTGGGAGGGGTGTATTATAGCCTCTGGAGTGGGAAGGACTTGCTCTTGTTTTAGCAGATTCAGGACGTCTTATCGGTAGACTGTGGGTACAGGGCCCCCGCAATAGGAGAGAGCTCTTCTGTTTGCCCTGTTATTTTGTCCTGGGGCCAGGGCCTCTGCAAACCTGGTGGGAGGCTCACCCTTCCTGGAAGGGCTAGGGTGGTGCTCTCAGGGTTCCTGATCTGTGCCCCCACCCTTTCCGCTTGCTAGCTACATCAGCGTCAACACTGGCTCTGTTTTTTCCAGGAAAGACAAAGTGGGCGGCCGCTGCTGGCACTGATCACTGGCTGAGTGTGCCTGTCCTCCTGTCTGCTCCTTGGGGGTGGGTGGGGTAGAGGAGGTAGAGGGTTTCCTGGCTTCAAGAGGCTAGAGCCCCAACAGACATGAGTTCCCACTCTGTCAAAGCTTAACCAAAAGGAGCCCCTGCCAGTAGGGACCATGCCAGCCCCCAGTGTGTCCTGCCCCCACCTGGACATCCAGGATAGGGCAGAGCCAGCAGCCAGGAACTTACTTGCCAGACAGGAACAGTGGTGCTGTGTGTGGCTGCTGCCCTCTGGTAGCTACCTGTGGTCACCACATAGGGTTCAGTAGACTCTGCCTTCAGGACAGTAAGAGAGGGAAGGGGTAGAGTGTGGTCAGTTAATTTGACCCCTGTCAGTTCAGCAGCTAAACTCCAATATGACTGTCACTTTTTCTCTATAGCCAAGTGCTACTTGTAGCGGCCAGGCCATACCAGGAGGCGGGTGCCTCCTGTACTCGATGATTAGGAGGGTGGGCTGGCAGCACACTGCACTGGGCCACATCCACCCCAGCCTGACAGTCCTGTTCTTGATTTTCAGGCAGCGACAGCAAGCAAGGTACAGGAGGCCAGTCCCAAGCTGACCCCGGAGGAGAGGAGAATCTTGGAAAGGAAGTTGAAGAAGGAACGGAAAAAGGAAGAGAAGAAGCTGCTACGGGAGGCGGGCATCACTGCACCTCAGACGGCCAAGCGCCAGAACCCACCCGCCAAGCCCCCAGCTGCCGTGCTGGCCCTGGACTACCTCCAAGGGTAAGAGGCTCCAGAACATTCTGCCACTACTGTGATGATAGGCTAGAGGCTGGTCCACTATGGCAAGCGGGCAGTAGATGGATGATCCGGGCTCACTACCACTGCACAGGTGTTGGTGAAGCCCTTGTCCTGCCTAGACTGTATCCTCAGAACTGCCTGCAGACACTTCTCTCAGCTTTGCAGCCTGGTGTAGCTATTCTGTAGCCAGTGTGTGCCCAGTGCTGCAGGTACACCCAAAATGTGGATAAGCACTAAAACAGGTACTCCAGAAGGCGGGAAACCAGTCTGAACCACAGTGGGAGGAAGATTGTGACAACCCTGCAGCTGGGAATCTCTTCCCAGTTGTTCTTGTTACTGAGACAAGATACCTCACAAATCAACACAGAAAGGAAGGGTTGATTTCAGGTCACAGTTCAAGAGTACAGTTCAAGAGTCCATAGTGGAGGGAAGGCATGGTGTCAGGAGCGTAAGGCAGCTGCTCACATGTCATCACAGTCAGGAAGCAGAGAGAGATGGATGCTGGTGCTTAGCTCACTTTCTCCTTTGTATTCAGTCCAGGACACCAGCTCTTAGGATCGTGCCAGTTAGCCCAGTCTAGAAACTCCCTCAAAGACATGCCCAGCAGTTTGTGTCCTGGGTGATTCTCCATCTGTCAAGTTGACAGTATTAGCTGTCAGGCCAGGCAAATGCTGAGAGAAGCTCAGCTGGTGTGGGCATTTGCAGAGCCTCTGGGGCCTCATAGCAACTTTGCAAAGGGAGCTGCCTTGCCCAGTAGCCTGAGTGTCCAGGTTCAACAGCCTCCATGCAGGTGGCCTTGTGCACAGGAACATGAGAGGGTAGCCTGTTTATAAGTCAGATCAGCTTTTGCACAGATCAAACAGACCTAGGTAGAACCGTGTGCAGAGAATGGTTGGCAAGGGCTTCAGAGGCAGGAGGCCACTCCCCAGTCAGGGCTCCAGAAAGACATGTTCTTGTGATTGATCAGCCACGGTCTCCTGGGATGCAGGGGTGCTGGGGCCCCATGAGCTGGAGAGTGGCCTTCCATTGTGTCCAGGATGTTCCATCCTACAGTGGCCTCCTGGCCCTGCTGTCTGGAGCTCTTGGGCCCATGAGGATAACTTAGGAGGAAGAGGGGTACAGGAAAGGGCCACAGGCAGAAGGAGAGTCCCACCACAGGTTCAAATGCCAGAGGGAGCCTCGGATCCCAGAAGACACTGGAAGATCAGCTGAGGGTAGCCAGGTCTGACAATGTCCTCTTGGAATCAGACCAAGGCCTGGTTTTGCCTTAATGGTAGACCTTGCCATGGCTCCAGCCCATCTGTAGGCCAGGCCCAGGTGGCAGTCGTTCCCACTGCTGTCCAGCCTCTGGAGTGTTGGCAGGTCCTTGTCCTTCATTGCAAGCCACGTGAGTGCTGCAGCTATGTTCTCCTGGGGCCACTACCCTTGTGTCCAGAGAGGAGGTGGGCCCCAGTCTTACTTCCCATGGCCATAGAGCAGCTGGAGCCCAGGGGAGACCTGAGAGCGACTTCACCTTGCCTCCTCCCCACCTGAAACAGACCCACTGAGCTCAGACCCAGCTCTGCCCTGCCCTTTCAGGAAAGTATTTGGGGTGTAACCCAAGAGCAGGGGACTGTGGTCTGTCTGACCTTTAGCTGACCTTCCCAGGCTGGTATCTTTTGGTCCTGGCTCTTCACATCCTCCTGGTCCTTGGGAACCACTCTTGGGGACTTAGGATGTGGGAGAGTAGAGGATGGATGCTTGGTGTGAGGACTTTGAAATGGGACACAAGTCAGGGAGTGCACCTCCTTACTGTCCTGAGGTCTGCAGACAATCAAGTCCCTCCTTGGACTAGGTTGAACCCCTCAAGTAGGCTGAGCTCCATGCAGATAGCCCTGGGGTAGGGTGGGAGGCATGGCTGTAGGAGAGGCATGTGAGCTTCACTGAAGCAAGGACCTGGGCTGGGAGGCCAAGAGGCCGGGAGGATTGGTGGAAAATTGGAGGACAAGGGGTGAGAGGGTAGGAGGACAAGAGAATGGGAGGCTGGGTGCCCAGCTCAGTCCCTCCCAGAGTTCTGACCCTCAGAACCCACATAAATGCCAGGTGGGTGTGGTAGCCCACCTGTAATTTCAGCCTCAGAAGGCAGAGACAGGATCCCCCAAAGCAAGCTGGCTAGCAAGCTCTGAATTTGATTGAGAGACACTGTCTCATTGAAAGAGGTAGAAGAGCAACCAAGGATGGTTCCCATCATGGACTTTGGGCCTCATTCACGTACACCCACACACCATGTGTGTCCACACACATGCAAACATATATATACACACCTGTACCTGTGAAAATGAAAAAAATAATGAGTCAGGTATACTGGCGTAGTCCTGCAATCCCAGCATTTAGGAGGCTGAGACAAGAGGATCACTCTAGCTATGGAGTGAGTCTGAGGCTAGCCTATGCAAAACTCTGTCTCAAAAAACAAAACAACAACAAAAATCAATGAATTCAGAAAATTCAAAATACCCCCTTTAAAGTCATAAAATCACAGGATTGTAGAGTTGGAAGATAGCCTTGCAACCCTGATGTTACAAACATACAAACATAGATGCCACAAATGGGCCAAGGGAGTGCCCCACAGTGAGCATGCTGGGGAGCCATATCCACCAGAGCCAGACTCGACTACCACACTGCCCAAGGTCTTGTTCTCCCAGAGACGCTCAGCCTTAGGTCCAGCACTGGAGAAGGTTATGCAGTACGCGCAGCCCCCAGGGTCTTCCTGCGTACCCTGAGATGTCTTATCTTGGTTCCCAGGTGGGCCCAGAAGCAAGAGAACTGGAGATTCCAAAAGACGAGGCAGACATGGCTCTTACTGAACATGTATGACAAGGACAAGGTCTGTGCATGGTGGGCAGTCCCCAACCAGGGTCCCTGAGTAGAGGGGGCTACCCAGGTGACAGCATCCATACACAACAGGCAGGCATCCAGCCAGGGTCCCTGTATGGAGGGTGGAACCCCCGGGAGACAGATCTATGCAGGATGAGTGGATCCTTCAAAAAACTGGGTGTGGTGATGCACACCTATAATCCTAGGACTGTGGTGTGAGAGGAAGATGAGGACTTCAGGGTCATCCTCAGCTACTTTAGCAAGTTCTAGGCCAGCTCGAGCTAGAGACCCTGACTCACAAACAAAGCAAACTATGTTTATATGGAATAGCTGAGGTACCACAGGGTTGTGCTGACACTGGCCCCTCTTCCCTGTGTCCCCACCTCTGCCCTTGATAGGGTGGTAGCAGAGCAGCTTGTGGGCTCCTTGCACATGGCTGCAGCCAGAGCACACTGTGAGCAGATCCTCCCAGCAGGCAATGGGAGGAACCAAAGTGCCCTATTAGCTGGTGCTTATGTGGGCCCCTTGCCTGCCCACTGCCCAAGATCCCCAAGCTCTAGACCCCAGCGCTGTCCTCTTGTCCAGGTTCCTGATGAGCACTTCCCTACCCTGCTGGCCTACCTGGAGGGACTGAAGGGAAGTGCCCGGGAGCTCACAATCCAGAAGGCGGAGGCTCTGATGCAGGAGCTGGACAAGGCCGATACCGCAGACTCAGACACGCCACCAGGGAAGATACAGCGCCTACGGGAGGTGCTGCAGCTACTCTCCTAGGGAAGGAAGGCAGCCTTGGGCCATCTTGTCCTCCACAGCCACGGGAGGAAGCAAGTCCTGGTACCTTCAGAGCTGAGCATCATCTCCCGCAACAGCCTCAAGGCACCTCTCCCACTCATGTGGCCCTCAGAGTGGCTGTGTGCCATATCCTTCTACCAGAATTTCGTCAGAGGCGGGCCCATGCTGGCTCTCCCCACCAGCTGGGGCTCCTAGTATGGGAATGGTGGGACCCCTGCACAGTCCCTCTGGTATGGCCCAGCTGTGACCACCTGTCTTACCTCCCTCATCTGCCTCACCTACAACCTTCTGCCTGGCTGCAGGGAGGCCCCTGGGCTGTGTGGCTGTGTTTTCAGTTAAAGCTGGAAACCATGGCAGAGAACTGGCCATGGTTGCCAATTGTTCTCACTTGCTCCCTTAGCGCCAGTGGCCAGGTCTGCTGCCTTCCCTCGCTGAACTGTTGAACAGAGTGACTAAGGATTAATGTTTGGACACTGTACCAAGCAGAGCACATCCCCCCACACCCCACCATTGTGTGACTTTTCCTGGAGAGACCTAAAGAAATGTCCATACACCCCCGATAGGGAGGGCACCAGCAGACTAAGGGAAGGGTTCCCGAGAAGTCCCAGGGACCAGTGGTGTCCCTTAAAGGAGCTCAGGCGACTTGCTGGCCATTGAAATGTCCACCTTCTGCCCCCTGTGTATCCAGCACACTGCTTCTTAAACTTTCTCTATTTACAACCCCTTTCACCCAAGTAATTTTTACACGGTCCTGGGTATATGGTTATAAAAGAGGCGTACAAATCAAATATTTACTAATAATAGGTTATAAAGACATTTAAAAACAATTCTATGGACTGCAAATAACTTTACCATTGATTAAAGATGATAACTCTGCATATTAATGAAATGGATGTGTTTGTCTAACACAGCACACATATGGAAAATACTAAGTCCGTTTTCCATAATTCAGCTGTGTTTCTATAGGAGCAGACGCTAAAGCCCTGAGATGCATAACATGCAGCAGTCTGGAGCCTGAGCCAGGGCCTTGTGTGATGTGACATGTGTGGTGTAGGGTGCCTGTCCTTTGTGTTGAGGCAGGCCAAGACTGCTGTGAAGTCATGAGTGTAACACAGGCCAGTGCCACAAGGAACACCTCGATCCTTTACACATTTTATTTCTAATTGATTTTTGATCATTGCACACTCAGAAATCTTTTGCTGTTACCAGATTTTTCATGTATCCCCACATTCACTTACACAATTCCATGTGAGGTTGTGAGCCATAAGAGGCTGGAGGGTGGCTGGAATCTAAGGTCAGAGTCCACAGACCCTCCCACATACCTGTCTCCTACAAGAGATGTTAACAGGCCCGAACTGAGGGTCCTGTAGGTGGTCACAGCTGCTCCAATTCATGTCATGTCTAGAGTTCCACTCTCCACCCCCAGCTCCAAGTGGCAGGGTGCACCGTGGCAGGGGCAGACAGACAGCCAGAGCCAGAAGGGCTGAAGCCAGGCTGTTCTCAGATGCCTGGAGGCCATACGTTCCCAGCATCCCATCCTAGCAAGTGAGAGTAGCCACAGGCCCCTCAGGTTGCTGCTGCTGCCAGAGGCAGTTCCACATCCACTAGCCTTAGGCATAGCTCCCCAAAGCTTGGGGTCTCACAGCCCTACTGGACAGTCAGCCTAGAATAAGGTACCAGTTGCAGACGAGAGGCCACAGTCTGACCAGGTTCTCTCAGGACACACTGGACCTGGCCACTTGGGGCAGCACCCAGGTTTCAAGCCTTGTCAAGTCACCTGAGCAGGGCAGAGATAAGCTGCCCGGGTCATATAAACAAAGGGATAGGCTTGTCTTGGGTCTCTAGCACTCATAACAGTGCTGCAGAGAGAGGCATGCAGAGCCCAAAGTATAGACTTCTGGATCAAGGGTCTTGGGCATCCTGTGGCCATTTGTGGCCGGGTCTACGAGGCCTTGGCCAGGGCTGGCACCCAAGCAGTTATATGATTCTAGCCCAAGAGAGACCCACACATCCCAAGGATCTTCATGTGTGTCCCTTGCTGACTCTTGTCACTTGTCACCACAGACCCCTAGACTTGGGGCCAGAAAAGACTCACCTGGGTGTCAGGAGCACCCAACCTGGCTGAGAAGAGGGTGGGTTGTCCTGACTTTCTGTCCCTAGGGTAATGAGGGCTACAGATTAAAACCACCCCCTTAGGATGAAAATTCTAAGGACAGCTGTGCAGGACAGATGTGGTGACAGCTCCCATCACCCTCAGCATTTAGGTATTGCCTGAGCCACCAGAGGCAGTATTCAAAAGTCAGAATGGGAGCTCTGGGTGTGGCTCAGTAGTAGAGCCCTTGTCTAGCATGCACAAAGCCCAGAATTCAATCCTCTGAACAGGAAAGAAAATAAAAACGGAATGAGCCATGCATGGTGGTGCATGTGATCCTAGAACTTGGAAACCGAGACAGGATTGTGGGTGCTGGACTTGCATGGGCTGCATAGCAAGACCCTGTCTGAAAAACTTTCTAAGGGACTGGAGAGATGGCTCAGCAGCTAAGAGCACTAGCTGCTCTTGGAGAGGACCCAGTTTCAGTTTCCAGCACCCATATGGCTGCTAACAACCATCAACTCCAGTTCAATGGATTCTATGCCCTCTTCTCCAGATCAGGGGAATCCGATGCCCTCTTCTGGCCTCCACAGGCATTGCATGACATGGGTGCACTTTACAGGCAAAACACTCATACACATCAAATGAAAATAAATAATTCAAAATAAGTTTTTAAAGCTTAAGTTTTTATGGGCTGGCAGGATGACCCAGCAGGTATAAAAGCATTTGCTGCCAAGCCTGATGACCTGAGTTTGATCACCAGGACCCACATAGTGGAAAGAGAGAACCCATACCCAAAGTCTTCGGTGACTAAGGAGGCCTGCCAGCCTCCATCTCAGTGTCTGTACTGCCCAGGCATTGGAGGCCTGACCTGTCTCTCTCTGCCCCTCTGTGCTGGCCAGCATGCCAGGCGTGGCCCTTTTATCTTCAGAAGGGAGCACCACCTCATGACCCTGGAGTACCTGGAGCTGCTGCCCCCTACTGCGCTGCCAACGCTGTCCTCACTTGGGCTGGAGGCTGCCAGTGTGATGCCCTTGATAGCAGGTCTCAATGGCCAGAACATTGCCTCTTTCATGAAGTCCTGAGCATCTCCCGTGAGCCCTTGGCAATGGGAACGGGAACACGCACCTTGGTTGCCATAGGACCCGGGTTTGCCATTGTGGATCTTTTTAAATTCCAGCCAGGTTTCCAGCTCTACCTCACCCATGGGCAGCTGGCCTCGCTGCCCTTCCCAGAGGCTGAGATGGACAGGGATTAGAAGATGAGCAGGTGGCCAGGTGGGATGAGAAAAGCTCTTGGAATGACACCTATTGACAACCCTGCCCAGTCCCCAGAGTCACCAGCTTAGGGCAGCCAGCTCCTTTGGTTTACTATAGCCACTTAGGGTGTCCTCAGCTCCCACCTGCCAGGCTCCTGGGGACAATGGCTTGAACAGAGGACTGTTTCAAAGGGGCAGTTGTTCAATACAAAGTTTTGAGGTCTGAATTCAGATGAGTTGTGTGTGTCTGTGTTCAAGTTTGTCCCACTGTAACCCCTATTGGAGATGCCCCACCATGGGTGGACCCAGGGGAGCCAGAGAAACCATGCAGGGCCAGCCACCCTGGCTGTGACCCCAATAGGCTTCTAGGAGGAAGAGAGGTGGCAGGTTTCTCAGGACAACTGAGAGTCGGGCACCCTGAGAGACCAGGTATGGTCATGCCTCCTGTTCCCCCAACCTGCCACCTACAGTCCCAGGCTGGGGAGGTTAGCAAAGGGACCCCCTTCCACAACAGCCACCACAATGTGGACACTCTGGTCCCACACTGACCCCCAGACCCCTGATGTCTCAGCCTGGAGTGCCTCCCAAGGAAGCTCTCTGATTCTGTAGTTAATATGGCCTATCTCACAGATGAGTAAACTGAGGCCCAGGGTGGACAAGATCTGCTTTGCTTTCCCAGCAAGTTGGGGCAGATCAGGTGACCCCTGTTCCCAGCATCAGTCTGATCACCTCTAGTGGAACATGCCTGGCCAAAGGAGTCAAGGACAGCAGCCTGTGACAGGACAGAATGCACTCTAGGGGTCCCAAAATGGAGTGGGGTCTGCAGGAGGGAACCCCTGGCCTGAGGCTGACTGATTTTAGGGTGGGTTTCATCCCAAACTGTAGATGTGGAAGTGAGGGGCTGGCAAACACTGCCTGAGTAGGAGGATGGGAGGGATGGGGGCTGTGGACCAGCCATCTGGCTATGGGGGTCCTGCATGGCCTGGCAGAGAGCCTGGGGATAGCCAGAAGTAGGATCTAGTGGGAGGGGAGGGAAAACGGTCCGAGGTTGAGACCCATTCTGCTCTCCACCAGGGTGGAGGAGGAGCCTGTGGTATTTGGGGTGTGGGAGCCTGGTAGGAGGCTTAGGACTTCCAGAAGTGGAAGTGTCAGGATAGAGCTGCTGGGCCAGGCAGGAGGTATGCCTGCCCCCATGGTGCCCAGATGAAAGGCTGGCTTCCAGCCTCCAATAGACAGGTTTGCAGCCCGGCACCACAGTGCACAGTGCATAGTCAGCTGCTAGGATACACAGTCGGTGGTATTACAGAGGGGCCAGAGACAGCGCTGTCCCTGTCACTCATCTCTTGGAAAACTAACTGCTGCATGGACTGCAGGGCACTTTGAGGGAAAGGTTGGCTCTGGGGTGTGTATGAGCATCCTAGGGCCTAGGCACCGCACACAGGTTATGGGCCCGCGGCCGCATGGTGAAGGCCGGGGCCGGCTGGGTGTCCAGGTCTTCAGGGCTGAGGCCAGGTGCCGGCAGCAAGCAGTAGCGCTGGAGGAGGCCAGCAAACAACAAGAAAAGCTCCATCCTGGCCAGGCTCTCTCCCACACAGACTCGGCGGCCTGCAAGGAAACCCGAGGCAGAGGTGAAGCACTGGGCCTGCCCCCGGCGGGGAGAGATGGAGAGCTGGAACTGGGCAGATGCACCTGAGGGCTGGGGGCTGGCGAGATACCTGTGGAGAATGGCAGGAAGGCAGCTCGCTTCACGAAGCGCCCATCTGCGTCCAGAAAGTGACCCGGGTTGAACTGGCCAGGTGTCTCCCACTGTGTCTTGTCCAGGAGCACCGAGGTCAGGAGGGGGATCACAGGGGTGCCCTGCAAAGCAGAGGGCCTGGGTGGGCAGGACTATAGGGGTAGGGGGCAGAGGGTTGGGGGTGTCCTGCCTCCTACCTGCTCTTGGTGGGTGCCTCCCTCACAGGTGAGTGTGAAACCAGGGAGCCCACTGGACCCCCAGACAAAGCACAGATCCTGGGACACAGAGAGAGAACCCAGGACATGGGAACAAACCTCAGGACACAGGAATAGATCCTGGGATAGGATAGGGACCACTGGCATAGGGAGGGACCCCAAGATAGGTATCCCCAGACACAAGACAGAACTGGAACTTAGGAACCCCCCGGACACAGGACAGACCCTGGGACATGGGGAGGAACCCCCAGGCAGGAGGGGCTTTGAGGTTGATGTCTGTCTGACTCTCTTCTCCACTCCAATGGCCCTCAGGCCCCCAAACCACCCCATGGTTACAGGAAGGAGTAAGTTGGACCCCACCTTGGGGAGCAGGTAGCCGCCCAGTTGAGTGTCAACAGTTGTGCAGTGGGGCACGTGGGGCAGGAGTGTGATGTACCGCTGAGTCTCATGGAGCACTGCACTGGTGTAGGGCAATGCCCGCTGATCCTCTGGCCGGGGTGGCCTCCTGGGGGCCAGCACAAGGTCCAGCTCCTCCTGAACTCGGCCTGGGCCAGAGGGTGGCACTGTGCTAGTGACGTTCCATCCCTACCCCCTAGGGGTTCTGCCCCCCCACCATGGGAGAACCCTCACCCTGCACGTCTGGATGCTTGACCATCAAGAAGATGGCCCATTGCAATGTAGCCGCCGTGGTCTCTGTTCCAGCCATAACCATGTCCAGTACACAAGCCAGAGCATTGGTCTTGCCAAACAGGCCCTCAGGGTCATCCTCCTGCAAAGATGGGCTGTCAAGACTGAGCTGGAGGCTCTAGGGGTCCACTCCCACCCTGTGGACCCAGCTGAATCCTGGGCCCAGGAGAGGATGGGTAGAGGTCATGCTGGGTAGAAAGGGAACACATGTGTGCTAAGGATCCACTCATCTACATTGCCTACTTCACGTATTGCCAGGGCTCATCTCACAGAGGAGGAGACTGAGGCCCTCAACAAGTGGGAAAATACCCTACATAATTCCCCTCCCCTGAGCCGGGGCGCTTGGAACTCCCCATAGGTTTCTTAGGGAACCCTGCTCCTGCTCACACCTGGCCCTGCTGGAGTAGAGCATCTATGTAGCTCCTCACAGGGCCATCCCTGGGTGAGGGGGGCCTCCTCGCCTCCAGGAGGGTCTGCAAGATGGTGCGCACCTCCTCAATCTTGCACAGGACAGGCTGGTGCAGTTGCAGCAGAGCCCCCAGCTGGGGGAAGGTGTTGAACAACTGAGGGAGGATGGGACAGTAGGGCAGAGTGAGGGGCAGTAATCCACCACATTAGCAGGCGTGCCTTACCCCAGGCTCTGCACACACATGCCCAGGCAGTGCTGCCCCTGGCCACAAGAGGGCACCAGGCACTGGGGGCTTGTCACCCTACTGGGGGAGTCAAGGACCAGGAGGAAATCTCAAGGTATACTGGAGGGAGCCGGCTGACACACCTGTGCAAGACTGTAGAGTAAGGGCTGCCTGGGGGTGTGTCCCTTCCATCATGGCTGAAGGAGAAGAGGGGTGGGGTACCATGGAGGAGAGGACTACAAAAGCCACCACCATAGGGGCTTGCAGGCCTTGAGGGGGTCGACGGATGGATCTGGAGCCTGCAGAGGTGCTCAGAGAATTCCAGCTGCCTTCCAACCTCCCTCCCCCTGACTCAAAAAGGAGCTTACCCACTGCCAGGGCTGCCCTGGGAGCCCTACCTCCTCCACCCCCCAGGGTAAGCTCACAGCCTCATTTTGTGCAGGTGGGAGGTCACCCAGCCTGAGGGCATGCTCACCCCTGTGGGGCCCTGCCCTGATGGGCTCAACCCTAAGCTCTGAGTGTTGGGATCTAGGTATCAACAAGAGCAGTTAGGAACAGCGGCTCAAAGCAGGGTCTCTTTAAACTTTGGGCACAGGGCATTGGAAAGACTGATTTTCATGACTTTTGTGATGAGGATGTACATGAGGAGGTTCCTTTGTGTGAGGGGCCTCAGAGACATGGGTCCCACATTCCTGGGAAGGTCCCCACTCCCACCTTTAGCAGCTGTGTCTATTACTGTGGGGGTGTGGGAGCAGATGGAAACCCCTCAGTCCAGACACCTCATCTCCCAGAGACTGTAGGGCTGGGGTCACCAATTCATGTCAGTCTCTAGTCAGCATCAAGCATTCCTTGTCCATTTTGTTTTTGTTTTAAGCTTTTACAATTTTATTAGAATTTTAAAGAAAAAGAAATCCTCAAGGAAGGCAAGCTGATACTCTTGGCAGCTGCCTTGAGGAGGTGAATGGTAGGGAGAAAGAAAGCACGGAGCCATGCGGGTTTAGAGCCTGCCTGGGAGGTCAGACACGTGGCTGACTGGCAGCCACATGGCTGGGTGAAAAAAGCTTTAGAGGAAAAGTAAAGAAATGCAAGATGCTGGGGGCAGCCCAAAGCCTTAAAGAAAGCATGTTTAGAAAGAAAGGCATAAAGAAGAAAAGGGGAAATTATGCTTCCCTGAAGAATTCAGGGGAGCAGGCAACTCACAGACTACATGGCTGTAGCTGGGAAGTTCTACCTGTCCATTTTGTTTTTATTTTGTGTGTCTACCATGTATCTCAAGTAGCCCAGGCTGACCTCAAACTCAGCCAAGAATGGCCTTGGACTCCTGATCTTCCTGCCTCTGCCTCCTGAGTGCTGGGACCACAGGCATGTACTAACACACTCAGTTTATGGGGTGCTGGGGATGGAACTCAGGGCTTCACGCATGCTAGGCAAGCACACTACCAGCTGAGCTACACCCCCAACCCCAGCGCTCCTTGTTCAGGAAATGACATGAAAGTTCATAGCCTTCATGGTGCAGAGCTAGGGTTCTCCCACTCCAGTTCTGCAGGGGCCCAACTCTCTGTTGGGTGGCAACCTCTCACCTGTATGCGGAGTGACCCCAAGAGAACCATGACCTCATCAATGAGACCTAGCAGGGACACAAACACGGGGTCCTGGTAGTCGAAGCGCTGACCGAAGAGGAGCGTGAAGGTGATGTTGCAGGGTGCCCAGCCCAGCAGGGCCAGGGGAAAGGGCCGGCCTGGGGATGAGGGAAGACAGGCTTCAGGTGGGCAGGGACCACTGGGGAGGGACATCCCAGCACTCACTCACCTCCATAGCTGTCCAGCTGCTCCTCAAGGCATGCCAGCTCATGCAGCACCTTGTCCGCCATGAGTGACTGCCCCACCCCCAGGGAGTGCAGTGTGCGCACTGTGAACTGGCGAGCTGCCCTCCAGTGTGCTCCGGAAGAGAAAAAGATGCCTATGGGTGGACATGGGCCGTCGGTGTCCTATAAGCCACATGCCCATCTGGTGATGCAGGCAGGGAACAGGTGGCCCACACAGGGCCAGCAGGCTCAGCTAGAGCCCCACACTAGACCCCTCCTGTTCTGGAGTTTCCCTGGGTCACATCCCTTTTGGTCTGGAATGGACACCTCCCATGTGGGAATATCCTGTCTCTTCCCAGGACCAGCATGGGTAGCCAGCCTCCCTCCCACCTTACAGGAAACCTCAGTGCCTACCTACCCCCACCTTGCTGGATGAGCTGGAAAATAGGGATGGGGGGCCGGTCGGCCAGCTCCTGCCCGGTTCCCACCAAGGCCTCCCTCACCACCTCATATCCGCATAGCACCACAGTCTTCTGAGATCCCAGGTGGATTGTGAACACTGGGCCATAGCGTTCTGAAAGCTGGTAAGTACAGGCAAATGTCAACCAGGCAATCTCTACCCACCCACACTCAAAGTCTGAGCCACCCACTAAACCCTGAGCCATCCCCCAGAAAGCCTGAGCCATCTCCCCACCCTTACTCAAAGCTTGAGCCCTGAAGGTGATGGATGTTGGAGGAACTCAGAGCCAGGCAGGGCAGGCAGTATGGCAGTACTAGTATTATAGACTGCAGGATAGAGGGGACCCAGAGATTTCCCTCCCAGTCTCCTCTAGAAGACAGCGCTGTTCACACTGCCCTCTCCCCATTTCAAGGACAAGAAGCTGAGGCTGGGAAGCAGGAATTGATTGGTGTGGGTCAAACTGAGAACTGCTGCTGGGCAGTTCTGGTAACTACTCCCTTGGGACAGCCTGTATCCCTGGGCCTGGTACCTGTAGACACCCTGGAGTCTAGCCTGATCTACCCAAAGATAGGGTAAGGCTGCCTCAACCCAGGGCTGTAGCTACATGGATTTCTCTGCAAACAGGAGCCTCTGGGGCGAAGTTCAGGAGCCCCCTGATCCCTGGCCTCAGGCTTAACCACACACACACACACACACACACACACACACACACACACACACACCTTCACCTTCAGTCTACTGTGAGATGCCATAGCCAGCAGACATCCCACCTGGCCCATGGGTGCCACATTACAATCCTCAGCCTCAGCCTCGGTCCATTGTAGCCACTTCTAGGCACACCTACCAGTCTTCCCTCACTGTCTCAGAGCCTACAGCCTCCCCACCATGCCTCCCCCAGGGAGCCCACCCTGCCTGCCACTTCTGAACCCTGACCCTGGGTTGCACTTTGCACTTTATTTATTTTTCTTTTATTTACAGTGCTGAGGTGGAACCCAGGGCTTTGTGCCTGCTAAGCAAGCGAAGCTATCTCTCACCCACTACATCACTCCATTGGTTGCCCCAGTCAAAATGGGACATAGCCACAGGGTGAGCTAGCCAACTTGGGGTCACCCACCCTACCTCCATCAGTGCCCGGTCCTGTTGGGCCACACCCAGCAAATGCAGGTTCCCCAGGAGTGGAAGAGGACGAGGCCCAGGGGGCCATCCCAGGGCCAGAGAGGGATCCTGGGCACAGCCCTGGAGCAGCCCCCACAGCCCCAGAAGCAGCAGGAGCCCACAGACAGCCAGGAGCAGCAAAGCCATGTGAATAGTCAGGTAGTGAGGCCCCAGTTCCCTGGGGGCCCCCGTGAGCCCTGTGCCTTATAGCAGCCCTCCCCAGGGTGTGTCAGCACCCCACCCACCCCACCACCCAGAGAATGTGGAAGGAGCAGTTTGCAGGGGACAGCCCAGCAGGAGGCTTAAAGCTACAGGCTGCGTGGAATATGGGGTCGCATCTGTGACAAGGGGCCCAGAACGGGGACCTCTGCAGGAGACTTGGGACCCCAGAGTTGCAGGACCAAAGCCTGTGGGTCACAGGGTTTCCAAGCCTGGACCATGTGGGGTCAGGCCTTCAGGACATCCACTCCCCTCGATGTGCCCCTAGGTTCCAGTGACAAGGTAACAGTCTCAACTCTTAGAATCTGTCACTCCTGCGTGGTCTCTCCATGAGTGAGTCATTGGGCTTTGGGGCTGGCCCAGGTGCTAAAAGGAAGAATGTCCTGTGTCCCTAGCTCAGAGCCTCCAGAAATAGGACCCTGGGGAGCAGCAGGTACAGGGCTTCTGTCAAACACTGAATGCCCTGTGTGGCCTCAAAGACCACAGTTTTCAGAGGTGGCCACAGTCCTTGAGGTCTGGGGAACTCACCCGAGCAGCCTGGATGAGCAGTAAGCGGCAGGGCTACTCAGACAGTGAGGAGCCCCCTTTCAGGCTTTGGCACCAAGTGGCGATGGGCACAGCAGGTAGCAAGGTTTATAATCCTGGCTGTCTAGGATGTGATCCATCTTTTAAACCCAGGTGGCCTCACTGGGGAGGAGGTGCCACTGGGCTGTTGGCACTAAAAGTAGCTGGGCCTGCTTCCCGAATCCTGCCCCAACGTGAAGCAGCTGGAGTCCTGTCACCCCCACCCCCCAGCAGGGCCCCTCACCCCTCACACAGTCTGTCCCCTGGGGTGACATCCACACCCTGAACAAATGCGGAGCTGAGGCAGCAGCAGAGGCCCTCCCCACTCACTGCTCCCAGGCCTTATGAGAACAAGGCCCAGCCTGGATTGCATACCACCTGCAAGGGGGCGCTCACCACCTCCACCTCCTCACGGCATGAGGCTGGACTGGACAGCTTCCTGCCACCACTGTGAATATGTGTGTGTGTGCTTCCACCAACTGGCACCAAGGCCACTGCTGGGCATCTAGACTAGGGATCCCGCAAACCAGGAAAGTCTACGTAATGACTGCAGAGAGCACGCATTGAGCCCTTGCTTATGTGCCAGCCTTGACCAGGAACGAGGCCTATGGAGACCAGTGGCAGAGGAACCACTGGGTCCTGCTCTCCTGATTCCAGAGCAAGGCCGGTGTGACTCAGCTGGCCCCTGAAGGTGCATTTGGGAGGGGTGGGGATGCCATAGAGTCAAAGCAGATGATGCTCCCTGGCCTCTGCACTGCACATAGTGAGCTGGGACTTGCCTGGTTCTTTGGGACAGTGTGGGGTGGGGGTGGGTATAGAGATGCTGGAGAGGATAGGGTACTCAGGGCTGGGGTCAGAAGCCCCACCAGGAGCAGGCGTGAGCCCCCATTCCCAGCATGAGAGTCCCTGTGGCTGTGGCAAAGAATCGTTTGCTTTATTTTAATATTTTTTAATTATGTGAATGAGTGTTTTACCTGCATGTATGTAAATGCACCACATCCATGCCATGCCCACAGAGGCTGGAAGAGAGCGTTGGCTCCCTGGAACTGGAGTTAGGTACTGTTGTTAGCCTTGATATGGATCCTGGGAACCAAACCCGGGTCCTCTGCAAGAGCAGCCTGGCTCTTAACTGTTGAGCCGTCTCTCCAGCCTGCTTTTTGTTTTGCTTCACTTTGTTGATTTTGAGACAGGGTCTCCCTGTGGCCCCGGCTGGCCTGGAACTCATTATATAGACCAGTCTGGCCTCAATCTTACAGCGATCCAACCTGCCTCTACCTCCCAACTGCTGGGATTAAAGGTCTATGCACCATACCCGGCCCATAGCAGCAAGTACTTTTTTGTGGGGGCGGTTTGTATCATTAGCATTTATTCCAAAGTTATTAGGTTTATCAAGTTTATCTTCAGATTTCATATATATTACATTGTGTTTTAAAACTTTGATAAAGCATCAGTTCCACAAATAGACATCTAATCACTCTTTCTTTAGAATATGTTCAAAATTCAGCAATTTCTTATTAATTCCAATTATGAATTAACTTCGGATACATCATTGTTAGCTTTCTGCATTTCTGCTTCGCCCCTTTGCCACCCCCACTAAAATCCCTCTTGTATTTTAACACAATTATCAATCATCCATTTGTCAGCTGGTGTGAAGTTTTTTGTATTTGCACCATATTACCAGCCTATGGTATGTCCGAAACTCAGTCAGAGAGAAGCTGCAATCTCTTCATGTTCTGCGTGTTCCTCCAGCCCAGCCTCCTGCTCTCACCACTACCACTTCACTGATTCTGCTCTAGCCAGCCTGGCCTTAGTGCTGTTCTTTAATATGCCAAGCCAGCCCAAATTTGGGCCTTTGTGAATTCAGCTTTGTCTAGCTAATGGTTCTCCTAAATACATGTATGGGCTCTCTCCTTTACTTTCTTTATATCTTTACTTAAGCATTGACCCGGAAGATGTTAGCTTACAGGTCATCTTTAATAAGGCCACTAGCATGGGTTAGAGCAAAGAATACCCACGGTCTTTCATGTAGCTACAGAACTTTTTAACAGCCTTGTTACTTGTAGTACCTTGGTGAGCTAGCTGAGGCTATTTGTAGGCAAAGTGTCAAAAACGCTCCCTGTTTCTTCTCTTATCCCTAGTAAAGGGCAAGGGAAGGCTAACAAGTCTCCTGCCAACAAGCACAAAAATTAGTCTTGTAGTGTAAACTCCGAATTCAGTGTAATCTTAGGAGAAAGCTTGACTTTAGGCTCATGAAGTATACCGACCCAGTATCAACTGCTGATTGATTCCTGACACACACAACCTCTCTGACAGAAGACGCATGGTTGCTGTCTCAGGTGCTAAATATTGACATCATTGTCTTTTTACACCCCAGCTCAGCCCTTCTTTTGTTCAAGACGGGGACTCAGGCAGTTCAGGCTGGCTTCAAACTCACTAAGTAGTTGAGGCTGACCTTGAACTCTTGACCTTCCTGCCTCCCTTTCCTGAGGACTGGAATTATAGTTTGTGTGTGTGTGTGTGTGTGTGTGTGTGTGTGTGTTTGTAGGTATTCCTGTGCAACAGCATGCATGTGGAAATCAGAAGAAAACCCCTGTATGGGTCCTCACCTTCCCCCTTTATTGAACCACGGTCTCTTGTTCGCTGTTCATATGACATGCTAGCTGGCCCGAGAGCTTCAGGGATTCTCCTGTCTCTGCCTCTCACTTGCAGGACAAACATTTACCTGAGCTGTCTTCCCCACATCATCATGTTTTTTCAAACAGGGTCTCTCAGTGGCCCGGAGCTTACCAGTTCCTCTAGGCTGGCTGTCCAGCGAGTCGCAGGGATCCTCCAGCCCTGGGATTACAGGTGCACACTACCACGTGCTTTTTGCCCAGCTTTTTATGTGAGTGCTGGAGATGGAACACAAGTCCTCTTGCTGCCACGGCAAGCACCTTACCCACTGAACCATCTCCCTAGCAGAAAGCACATGACCTGGACTTTAGAGAGATAAAGCCTAGCCACAGAGCTCTCCTTAGTATGCACCAGCTCTGGGCTCCATCCACAGACACTATAGAAAGAAGGGGAGTGATTTAAACCTGATGAGTTTTGACACAGTCCAAACCATTACCATGATCAAGACAGTAAACACCCATCACCTCAATTCCCTGGAGCCCCTGCGGGTATCCCCCACCACACACAGCTTGAGGCCATTCTTAACATGACTGTGTGCCCAAAATTAGAGACGGGCCTCCTCTGACTGCTGCTTGTTGGATGTGACTAGTCGTGAGTATTCACGTTGTTCCAGGCTGTCACAAAGCACCTGATGTGGGCAGAGCAGAGCGAGGTGGGCACACCTGTGATTCCAGAACTGAGGGTAGGAGGACCATGAACTCCAGGCCACTCTGCCCTACATAGTGAGACTCTGTACTGTGCACAGCTTCAAGAGATGTTGCAAAGCAGATTCCAGTAAGAGGAGGATTGAGCAAAGGTTTTGTTATTCTTTCTTATGGTGCTGGGGATCAGACCCAAAGCCTTGTTTATGCTAGGCAAGTTTTCTACCACTGAGCCACCTTTCCAGCCCCTCTTTGGGAGATTCTAGGCAGGATCTCTACCCCTGAGCCTCACCTCCAGCCCCTCACTGGGGGATTCTATTAAATTGCATCCCCAGTCCTAAGTGTTTTTAAAAATAATTTATTGAGAATTTCATACATGCATATAAGGTGTTTTGATTACAAAGACTGCCCCCCCCCACAGAGTCCAAAGTTTTTGGAGACAGGGTCTATGTGTGTAGCCCAGGCTGTCTTTGAGCTCCTGATCCTCCTGATCCTCCTGCCTCCTCCACTGGAGTACTGGAGTACTGGGATTACAGTCATGCACCGTTAACACCTGATGGGGCTATTCCTTTTTTTCTTTTTCTTTTGCAGGGCTGGGATCGAATCTATGCTTTACTGAGCTACATACCCAGCTCTGGGGCTGTTCCTTTTTAAAAATTTCAGTGGCATTTCCCCACCCCATGCAAGGTGTGGGCCAACTGTCTCCAGCATAGTTGCTCAATCTGCCTGAGATCTGTTGTCATCAGACTTGCAGGCCTTCTGAGCAATCTCCAGGGCCAGGCCGAATGTAGAGTTCTGACTGGCTGGCTTAGTCCACATCAAGCCTTGACACTTCACATGGAGGTGGGTGGATCCCCAGAAGATGGCATCCAAAGGTGCTCACATTGATGCTCCCAACCACATGTCCTTCATATAATATAGCTTCACCCTCCTTTCACTGGAAGGAGCCATGTACCCTGCACTTGGATCTAGGGCTGCTGTAGAGGGAATTCTAGCACCCTGGTGGCAAGGTCACAAGTGAGATATAGCTTCCACCAAGTTTGTAAACCCCAGCACCATGCTATGAGGAAGCCCAAGCAGCCTGGAGTCCAGGTGGAGTGGCGCCAAAGGCCCATGGATGCACAACCACACTCCCATCGGGAGCCTGTGTGAGCTGATGTGGTACAAGATTGGATCAAAGCACTGAGTTCCTTCCCTGCTTTTCTTGTCTGTAAACTGCAAATAAAAATCTCAGGGCTGGGGAGATGGCTCAGTGGGCTCTGCAAATATGGGGATCTGAGTTTCAATTCTCAGCATCACCACAAACAGCAGGGTATGACTGCATATGTCTGTGTCCCCAGTATTTGGGGGGGAGAATGTAGAGACAGGTGGATCCCATGAAAGTTTGCTGGCCTGCCAGCCTAGCCAAAACCAGTGAGCTGCCTATTCAGTGAGAGAGACCCACCTCAAGGCAATAAGTGTCAGAGATGGAGGAAGACCCTCAATCTCCTGGTTCTGGCCTTCACATGTGTACACATAGGCACTCACCCACCCACATACGTGCATGCCACATGTACTTGTTCTCTCTCTCTCTCTCTCTCTCTCTCTCTCTCTCTCATCTTCCCCAGCTAAAAAGCTTATACAAAGCAGTAACCAGATCCTGGGAGTAGTGCATTAAAAGTCAGGCATCCCCTCCAGTCACTAGTCCCTTCTGCCTCCCCTGGTCCCTCAGGGCTGCCCAACAGAAGCCCTGGCACCTTGGGGACAGGACTTCCCTTTCATGGCTAAGTGCTCTGAGTGGAAAGGGCTGTTTGCTAACTGATAAAAAGCTTCTATTGTCTATAGCCCAGAAAACATTAACGAATAACCCAGTGTGTGGCCCCTGATTTAAGCCCTTGAAAATGTAGAAAATGGCTGTTTATATGACAAGAACAGGGTGCAGTTTCCCTTCTAGAGTTTGTGTTTGAGAGTGTGTGTGGTGGATGCACACCTGTGTGTGTGTGTGCACCCATGCACAGCAGAGGCCAGGGGAAGATGCCTGGTGTCCCACTCTATCACACCCTGCCTTGTTCCCTTGAGACAGGGTCTCTTACTGAACCTGGAGCCAGGCTGATAACCAGCAAGCCCTAAGGATCCTCTTGTCTCTGCACCCCCATGGCAGTGGGGTTATGGGCCAATGTGACCAAGCCTGGTTTTTCACATGGTTTGGGGGGTTTGAACTCAGGTCCTCATGCTTGCATAGTAAGCTTATTGGCTGAGTCATCTCCCCAGCCCCTTTCTGGAGTTTCAAGCTGGCCTAGAGCTGAAATGGGCTTTCTGTTAGTTTGGGTGGGGAGGTCCCCTTCTGCAAACTAGTCCCTAGGCTCTGGGCACATAGCCAGCCTCCCATACAGGAATCCAGTTGTGTGCAGGGCCAGGACAGAATCCAGCAAGGGGACCACTGCATGCCTTTGGAAGAGGGGGGCAGTCCAGCAAGGTGGAAGGGGATGGGCAAACCCTGGGCTGCAGGCTGAGGACCAGCTGGCCAAGTACCTCTCTCCAGCCCCTGGGAAACACCTCTTCCACCCCACACCGGAAGTACCAGTGGTATTGGGGCCCCTTGGAGGACTGGGGTAGGAGAGCTGGCCCCAAAGGGCTTCTATGAGTTGAGTGATGCCCGCTACCCTCACTGCCAGTGCCTGGCATATAGGAGTCATTTTCAGCTGAGGTGGAAGGATGGAAAGAGGTTGAGCTCATGGCAGATTCCCCTAAACTACAGCCAGTGCTGAGGGGGGGGTGGGCAGTGATGTTTTCCTTCCTTCACCCAGCTGTAAAGCAGAGGCACTAGGGCCAGGTATTGTTGCCATGACAACAGCAATAAGCCAAAGCCAGCTCTCCATTAGAATATTCCCCAGCCCCTGCCCCCAGGATCTAAGAAGTTGCTCCCTTCTAAAAGAGGGAGCTGCAGAGGTGAGCAGCTAAGGTTGAAATGGTCAGGATGGCCCTACCCAGATGTGGTAGTGTCTTCATAAAGAGAAACGTGGACACAGACACACAGGGAAGATACCACTGGAAGGGGAGGCCCAGGAGGAGCATGGTTTCTTCCAGCCCAGGAGCACCCAAGATTTACAGCACACCCTGAGGCTGGGGAGAGGCCTAGGACTGGCTCCCTGGAGGGGCCACAACCCACAGTAGGCAGGCAGTCTGCAGGAGGTATAATGATCCACACCTTAAGCTTCAATCAGGCTACATGGCAATCCTCCTCCCTCAGCCTTCCAAGTATGGGGATTACAGGCATAAGCCTCTACACGCTGCTTTCATTTATGGTGTGTATGCGGTGTATGCACGTGTATGTGCAGATGTGCACACCTGTATGCACATGGAGACCAGAGGAGGGCTTCAGGTGTCCAGCTCTACCACGCTCTGCCTTATTCCCTTGAGACAAGGCGTCCCTGAACCCGGACTAGGCTGGCAGGCAGGAGTTCCAGCGATCCTCCCGTCTCCGATCTCACAGTGCCGAGGTTCTCAGCCAGTAGACTAGGAGCGCTCCGGGATCGCTCGGTGCGTGGTGGAGGCGGGGCCAGACCGAGAGGGGAGGGGCCCGGCTGAGTGGGGCGGGGTCTGGATGAACACCGCCCGCCGCTCGACCAGCTCGGCGCTCCCAGGCGGCGCGGTGAGCAGGGTTCTGCCGTCCGCCCTGCGCCATCGCGCTCGCTGCCTCGGTGCCGCCGTCATGTCCACCGCCATGAACTTCGGGACTAAGAGCTTCCAGCCGCGGCCCCCGGACAAAGGCAGCTTCCCGCTGGACCACTTCGGTGAGTTGAGGCGGGGTCCGAGGACTAGGTGGCAATATCTGGGGTGTTGAATCTGACTGACAGGGCAAGAGTACTGAGTGCGGGTGGCAGGGGCTGGGTTGTTGGATCTGGGTGGCAGGATCTGAGGTGCTGGATCTGGGTGACAGGGTCTGAGATGCTAGATCTGTGTGACAGGTGTGGGGTGCTGGATTCGGGTCACAGGGTCTGGCGTTCTGGATCTGTGTGGCAGGGGTCAGGGTGCTGGATCTGGTGAGTGGAGTCCGAGCTACTGGACCTAGGGGTACAGAGTAATGAAAGCTCCAGGCCCATCACGCTGTGGGCCTGGGCCTGCTGAGTCCTGTGGGGGGCAGGTGGGGAAACTGAACTCAGGAATCCCCATACACCAAGAGCCTCTGCCGTGACCCGACCCCCCAAGTGAGAGCACACAGGACTTGGGGCCAGTGTGCCCAGGACAGTGCCAGGACTCCTGGAGTTGGACTTCATGCTCCCCTGTGCCAGCTCAGGCACCTCTCCTCACCCAGCAGTAAAGGCTTCAGGACTGCAGTGAACATTAGGCAATGAAATATTTTCCAAAAAAAAAATTGGGGGCAGCCGGGCGTGGTGGCTTACGCCTGTATTCCCAGCACTTGGGAGGCAGAGGCAGGAGGATCTCTGTGAGTTCTAGGCCAGCCTGGTCTACATAGTGAGTTCCAGGACAGCTGGGGCTACAGGGAGACCCTGCTTCAAAAAAAAAGGGGGACTTGAACTCAGGGGTTGGAATATACTGGGCAAGCACCCCCACTGAGCCCCACATCTGCAGCCCAAAGGACTACTGTCCAGGTTCAGAGGTTACAGCTGTTACCTGTGGGATGTAACTGACTCATCATTGCTGTCTTTTGCAAAACTGAAAAACAGGGGGAAAAAAACCCCTCAGCAATGCCACTGACCTCAGGATGTCAGTGTGGAGTGAACCACTTGGGGAGATGCTGTGGAGATCACCCCAAAACAGGTTTATGGATGATTGTATCATTTTAGAATGATTTGATTACATTTATTAGGGGGGCACATGCCATGGTGCACATGTGGTCAGAGGATAACTTGTAGGAGTTGGTTCTCTCCTTCCACCATGTAGGCTCTGGGAATTGAGGCCAGGTCATCAGACTAGGCAGCAAGCACCTTTACCCGCTGAACCATCTCACCAGCCCTAGATTATTGTTTCTTGGACAACATTTCATTACAAAAATTTCCATTCTTTTCCACTTTTGGAGGATCGGGAGGGTGACAGGGTCTCACTCTATAGCCCTGGCTGGCCTGGACCTTGCTATGTAGTCCAGGCTGACTTCAAACTCACAGAGATCCATCTCCCTCTGCCTCTCACGTGCTGGGATTAAAGACCTGTGCACCACCTTGCCCGGCCTTTTCCATTTTTAAAAATATTTTATTTATTATTTTTATTTTATGTGTATGAATGTATTGCCTGCATGTATGTGAGTGCACCCGTGTGCACCCATGAGGTCAGAAGAGGGCTTCGGATTGCCGTGGAACTGGAGTTAAGGATGGTTCGTAGCCACCATGTGGGTGCTAGGAATCTCAGCCCTCATCCTCTGCAGAAGCAAGTCAGTGCTCTTAAGGTCTGAGCCAGCTCTCCAGCCCCTAGTTTCCTTTTTTAATCCAGCATTTCATTACGAAACTTTCAAAAAGAATATGCAATGCGTCACGAAGTTGCATGTCATCCTTTCCCAGCAGCTGTGCTAATAAACTCACTATGTAGACCAGGCTGGCCTTGAAATCACGGAGATCTGCCTGCCTCTGCCTCCCAGGTGCTGGGATTAAAGGCGTGTGCCAGCACGCCCGGCTACCTTTTCCATTTTTAAAAAAAAATTATTTATTTGAGGTGCTCCACTCCTGAGCCACACCCTCAGCCCACAAAGGAAGCAAATGGTAACAGAAACCGGAGCACCTCTCCTTAGGCTGCCCCATGGGCTGGTCAGGTTCACTTTACAAACTTCACACTCTTTTCTTTTTCCAGGCGAATGTAAAAATTTTAAAGAAAAATTCATGAAGTGTCTCCGTGACAATAACTTTGAAAACGCTTTGTGCAGAAATGAATCAAAACAGTATTTAGAGTGCAGAATGGAGAGGTGAGTCCCGAGTAACAGTGACAGCCTCAGCTTCCTGCACCCCACAGCCTTCCTACCAAACTGTGGCTGCACTGGGCCTTATCAGGCCTGGGTTTCAGCTCGTGCTTTTCTTTTTTTTTACTTTATGCATATGAGTGTTTTGCCTGCATGTATGTAAGTGTACCATGTGTGTGCAGTACCCATGAATGCCAAAAGAGGGTGTCAGATCCCCTGGAACTGGAGTTACAGATGGTTGTTAGCTGTCATGTGGGTGCTGGGAACCAATCCTGGGTCTTCTGCAAGAACAGCCAGTGCTCTTAACTGCTGAGCCATCTTTTTCTAGTCCTTTTTTCTACTTTGTTTTTTCAGTGTGTATGCAGGTGTACACATACATGTGAGCACATGGGTATGAAAGTCATATGGCAGCCATGTGTGTTCTCCTCAGCAGCTGTCCACCTTGTTTTTTGTGGGGATTTTTCCTTTTTGTTCATGTGTATGTGGGCGCATGTGTGTGTACATGTGTAGGCCAAGGTGGATGTCAGGAATCATCCTCTTCCCCGTTATTCTTTGAGGCAGGGTTTCTCAGTCAAACCGAGAGCTTGCTAGTGTTGCTTGTTTTGCAGGCAGCTTGTGCTAGGGAGCCTGTCTCTGGCTTCTGAGGCTGGAGTTACAGATGAGCCACCATGCTGGGTTCCGAGAATCCACACTCTGATTGTCATGCTTGTGTGGCAGATGCTTTAACTGCTGAGCCGTGTCCCCAGTCTGCACTTTGGTTTTTGAGACAAAGTCTCTCGCCGGTCTGGGCCTCATTGATTTAGCTAGTCTAGCTGGCTGGCGAGCCCCAGGGACCCATCTGTCTCCCCCTTCCCAATGCTGGAATTGCAAGCACATTCTACCAGAGCTGGTTTGCTTCACAATGGTTCTGGGGATAGAATTCATGTCCACAGTGCCAACCTAGCCATCTCCCCAGGCCCCCACAGTTTGTATTTCTCAGAGTAGCCAATATTTGCTGGGAGAAATCACAGCTCAGCACATGGGGTGCCACCCAAAGCTGCTGAGAGACCCTGGGAATCTCTTCTTGAATGACAGCCTGGTCCACATCCAGATTCTGCAGAGCACTGGCCCGGCAAACTCCAGGTGCCCCTGACCTATCATTAAGCTTTCAGAATTTCCCATCACAGAAATGCTGACTGACCCAAAAGGTTCGCAGACTGTGGGATCTGCAGTTCACATTGCATTGTCCATTCTGCCTAAAGCCGTTTGGAAGGTGACCAGGACAATGGGTGACATAGGCAGTGAGGGGTGATGATGCCTGATTTACCCAGAGACCGCTTTTAAACAGAACAGAAAACCACAATCCATGGAGATTTGACTTCAAATTTCCTTTTGTCTCTGCTGAAGTTTAGAAAAGGGCCAAAGTGGTTTGGGCATGGTAGCACATGCCTTTAATCTCAGCACTCTAGAGGGAGAGGCAGTCAAATCTCTGTGCGATTGAGGCCAGCCTGCTCTACATAGTGAATTCCAGGCCAGCTGGAGCTACAGGAGACATTGTCTCAAAAAAAAAAAAAAAAAAAAACCTAAACTAAAGCAAACAACCAACCAAAAAGACCATCTGAGCAATTTAGTGAGACTCTGTCTTAAAATAATAAGAAAAATGGGGTATACTTATTACATGTAGGCAATACATTCATACACAAAAAATAAAAATAATAAATAAAAATTTTTAAAAAGAATCCCCCAATGAGGGGCTGGAGGTATGGATCAGGGGTAGAGCACCTACCTAGAATCCCCCAGTGAAGGGCAAGGGGGTGTGGCTCAGTGGTGGAGCACCTGCCTAGAATCCCCAAGTGAGAGTCTGGGGGTATAGCTCAGTGGTAGAGCACCTGCTTAGGATCCCCCAGTGAGGGGCTGGGAGTATAGCTCAGTGGTAGAGCACCTGCCTAGGATCCCCCAGTGAGGGGCTGGGGTGTGGTTCAGTGGTTACACTGTGCCCATGGAGTTCTGCTATTTCTCATGCCTGCCCTGTGGGCATTCAGACCTGTAGAATAAGGGGACAATTCCTGCAAAGTTCTTGGCAAGAGAGCAGTGAGATGGCTTTGGGTAAAAACACTGCTGCCAGACCTGACAATCCAGGTTCAATACCCATGTCCCATATGGTAGAAGGAAAGAACCGGCTCCTGAAAATTGTCCTCTGACCGCCACATGCCCACATACATGCTCCCACACAATAAATAAATAAATGTAGTTAAAAAATAAGAATAAATGAAACCTTCAGCAGGTCTCAGTGGTAGAGTACCTACCTAGAATCTCCCAGGGCATTGGTAGCATCAGGGACTGTTGTCACTGCCTGTGGCCTTGACCTTGCCACTCTGCCCCACCTCCAGAGTAGACACAGTGACAGGCCTGTGCTACCACCCTCAGCTGCTGTCACTGCCCCAAAGCATGTGGAAGATATAAGAAGCCGTCACAGGCCGCCCAGTGCTGGGACAGACGGAGTGAGCCCTGGTGAAGGTCCCAGAGTGCTGCTCTGGGGTCTGCTGAAGGGCTGGGGCCTTAAAAATGTCAGGATACGTGATGCTTTTCTAGGTAAGTTCCCTTAGGTGACAGACACATTGAAAGCATCTCTTTGTCTTGATTTATATTTGTGTGTGTGAACATATGTGCACTGGTGTGCGTATGTATGCAGAGGCTGAGGTCCACCTCAGGTGTTGTTCCTCAGGGTCCCTCCATCTATATTTTGAGACAGTCTCTCACTGGCCTGAATTGACTGATTCAGCCCTGCTGGCCAGCAGTGAATCCCAGGGATCCTCCCATCTCTACTTCCCCAGCACTGGGGTCACAAAGCACAGGCCACCACACTGGGCTTCTCTGTGTGGGTTCTGGGCACTGGACGCAGGGCCTCCTGCTTACACAGCAAGCACTTTACCGACCATGCCACCTCCGCATCCCTGTTTATTTATTTCTCTTTTGAGACAGGGCCTTCTGATTAGCCCGGGCTGGTCTGTGTCTATCTGCCAGTGTTGGCTTGCAGGCATGCAAACTTACTAATGTCCTTGCTGTCCCTGGCACAGGGGCCTTTGGAGACTTGCGGAGAGCTGAAGGGGTCTCCTTATCTGTGCCTGACTTGTCTGATCATTTGTTTCCCTTTTCCTGCCCTGACCACCAGTGGTGGTGCTGCTAGGCTTGCTTCCTCCACAGGGGACCACTCACAACATACACACACACGGCCTTCCACGGGCTTGGAAGTTAGGCCTCAGCCTCCCAGGACTAGAGTCCTGTGCTCCTGCTGAGCTCCTGGGGATGGCCCGTCCCCTACTTTGCTGGGTGCTGGGAGCACCCGCATTCCTGGACTCTGACCCACTTTTCTCCCTCTGCACTTCTGCCTGGTCAGAGCCAGGCAGGCTGTCGGATCTTCAGGGTCCTTGTGATTTGAATACATCTTCCCCCAAGCCAGGAAGAGTGTTGGTGCTCACAGGCCCTGGGTACTGTGGGTGTTCATCTCTGGCAATCATTACTGTGGTTAAGTGGAAGAAGAGAAGTCCTGGAGAAACCACAACCAGATTCACTCGGAGCCCCTATGCTCTGCTTTCGGAACTGTGGGAAGTGGAGCTTTGGGGCCAGAATGTGGGGAAGAGTATGGGGGCTGGAGTGCGGAAGGCTGAGTACATACCAGGCTAGGACACACAATGCTTGGTACTGCGCTTCTACCCATTCATGGGGAGCTGGTCCCCAAGTGGCTGTGGAGGTGGCAGCTCTTGGGTCTCACAGGTGATTGGGAGGTGTGTGTGTTGGGACCATGGCAACCGGCAACAAGGCTGGCTCCTACCTCCTCCGGTCTACCTTTACAGTGACCTGCAGGCCAGGTTCAAGGCCGACAGCCTCCTCACATGTCTTCCCACAGTGTGGGGATGAAGGGCGCATAGCCCCAGCTGTGTGCATCCCTACAGTCTCCCCAGACGTGTGACTGAGTCGTGTCGCCCCTGCTTTCCCCAGCCCTGCTCTGTCTTGGTTCCTCTGTCCCTGTGACAACCTCCTTTCTCTTCTAGGCAACTGATGGCCCCAGAACCTCTGGAGAAGCTGGGCTTCAGAGATCTGATGGATGGAAAGTCGGAGGCAAAGGACAATTTTTGATGAGAAGGCTACCACAGGGCCATATCCACAGCCAGCTGGAGCAGAGGCCTGCCTCACTGCCCACAAGTTCAGGGGCCCTGAGACCTGCCCCACACGGGGCCTCTGCAGGGCACCCCTCAAACTGCAGTGCCCACGTCATCCTCTGCCAGCCTTGTTTTCCCTCAAGAAAGTGGTTTATTCTTATATCAGTGTGTGTCACAGGGTCTGTGGGGGCCTGGTGGCAGGAGGCAAGCATGCCAACATGCTATCCCACCCAGTGTGGCTGTCACACCACAGAGCCCGGACAGCTTTCCACACTGACTTAGTCACAGACTGGACTCTTCACACTAGACCTGTCAGTGTAACTATGCCCACCTTTTCTAATCACGGCCATGTACTAGCTGGGTTCCCTTTCTCTTTTTTTGTCTTTTCTTTTTAAACAAAACTGGAATACAAAATAGAAATTGAGGAACTATTTGACTTCTTACTTTTAGTTTTTTTGTGGCAGGGTCTCATGTAGCCCAGGCTGGCCTCAAACTCCCTATGTAGCTGAAGATGACCTTGAACTCCTGACCTTCCTGCCTCCACTGCCCAAGTGCAGAGATGACAGGTGTGCACTACAATGCACAGTTTATGCGGTGCTGGGGATGGAGGCCAGGGCTGCATGCATGTTAAGCAGGCACACTGCCAACTGAGCCTTCTCCCCAGCCCAACTTCTTGTTTTTTTAGGAAATTACATCTTTTTTAAAAATATTTTATTTATTATTTTTATGTGTATGAGTGTTATCCCTGCATGTAGGTAAGTGTCCCCAGCCCAACTTCTTGTTTTTTTTAGGAAATTACATCTTTTTTATTTATTATTTTTATGTGTATGAGTGTTATCCCTGCATGTAGGTAAGTGCACCCGTGTTGTGCAATGCCTGAGGAGGACAGACGAGGCCGTCGGATCCCCTGGAATTGGGAGTTATGGACAGTTGTTAGCTGCCATGTGGGTGCTGGGATTCAAACCCGGGTCTTGGGCTGGAGAGATTGCTCAGTGGTTAAGAAATTACATCTTTGTTAGCATGTGTATGTTTATGTGTAGATAGACATCATGTGTTCTCAGAGGACAACTTGCAGTAGTCAGTTCTCCTTTTACCCTGTGGATCCCAGGCACTGAACTCAGGCCTTCAGGCTTGGCAACAAGCACCTCAACCCACTGAGCCATCTCAGCAGCCTGGCTTCTTTGCTCTTTCTAGTACCAAGTGCCTTTATTACCGTGAGTGGTTTCTGATTGATTCAGGCTGTGTTTGTAAAGGTAGGTATTTCATTTCAGTAGCCCACTTTTGTGCCTCCACAGGAGCTGTCCAGAGGCAATAAACTCCTGCCCAGGCTTATGGTGATTCTTTTCCCACATTTTCACTGTATTGTAGTAACACTGTGCTCTTGTATTGGTGATCCCTCACTCAAGACCCCTGAGTAGGCCTGAGCAGTGACCGTCTAGTGTGACACTTCTATAAGCAGTGCTGGGCCGTGGCCAACCTCAGAGGCAATACCAGGCTCTCTTGCCCTCGGACCTGTGTCTCCCCAGCACTGTCAGGAAAGCCTGTCACTGCAGACTGCCTGCCCCAGCTCCTATCTGGCTGGTAAAAGATGGTGGTAGGAGACAGGAGGGCGGAGGATCCAGGGCATGTTCATCTCAGGCAGTGACAAGGCCTGATTCTGACCTTGTATTGGCAAGGCCCAGCTGATTCTGGGCCCTGAGGATGGGACATTCTCAACCCCTGCTGTCAATGGCTGAGGCTTCTCAGTTGCTCTCTGTGTTGAGAGCCCTGTTTTCTGTTCCCCAGCAAGGCCTTTTCTTGACCAGAGCCACAGTCTAGTACTCCAGTGGCTGCCTGTTAGCACACACTCATCAAACCCTGCTGGCTCAAGCCTGGTTGTCACAGTGCACCAACTGCTCACCTGCAATGTTACCATGATCTGTCATTGTCTGTGAACCTTGGTTCTGTTACCCAACACCCTTGTCACCAGAGTGCTGCTCATGTTACTAAAATCTGGAGTCTAAGGGCCCCACCAATCACACAAAGCAAACGTAACTCAGCAAGGTAGCTTTTTTTTTTTTTCTGGTCTTTTTGAGACAGGGTCCCCCTGTAGCCCCAACTGTCCTGGAACTCACTACGTAGACCAGGCTGGCCTTGAACTCACAGAGATCCGCCTGCCTCTGCCTCCCAAGTGCTAGGATTAAAGGCGTGTGCCACCACTTCCAGCAGCAAGGTAGCTTTTACTTTCACAAAAGGGTGTGTCGTATCACTCAAATGGAGCAAGCACACTCAACCATGAAGTTTGATAGGTTTTCATCTCATAACATGAGTACTGTGTCTTTTCCTCATTGAGGTTCGACCTTACAGTCATGGTTGAGTGGTTTTTAAAAGAATCAGTGAGCCAAGCATGGTGGCGCACACCTTTAGTCCCAGCATTTGGGAGGCAGAGGCAGGTGGATCTCTGTGTTCAAGGCCAACCTGGTCTAGCAAGTTCCAGACGAGCTAGGGCTACAGGAAGACCCTATTTCAAAAAAAAATTGAAGCCGTTGTACTAAACCAAAGGGTTTTTTAAGAAATATTTTATTTACTATTTTTATTTTACGTGCATGAATGTATTTGTCTGCATGAGTGTAAGTGCACCCATGTCATGGCCTCATGCAGTGCCCACAGAAGTCAAAAGAGTGTCAGATCCCCTGGGACTGGAGTTATAGATGGGTATTAACTGCCATGTGGATTCTGGGAATCAAACCTAGGTCCTCTGCAAGAACGGCCAGTGCTCTTAACCGTTGAGCCATCTCTCCAGCCCCCTAAACCAAAGTTTTACAGTTTTTGACAGAAAAGACTGATAGTTAATGTTTCTTACAGTAATTAGTGTTAGAGCGACACAGGCTCACGTCTGCATCATATTGCATGGGGACTACAGCAGTGTGAGCTGCAGGAGAGGAGACTCCAGCAGAGGGGGCTGCAGTGCATGCACACCATGCAGCCCTAAGCAGCTATGGTTAGGAGGAGCTCTGAGCTGATGGGGCGCACCCTCTGGCCACAGCACCCCTAGGCAAGGAAAGCGCCCTGCGTTTCAAAGGAAAAGGTGCAGGAGGCTCCACGGCCATCTGCTATCTATAAAAAGAAATTAGGTCAGGCATGGAGGTGCACATACTTGGGAGGCAGAGGCAGGCAGATCTCTGAGTTCAAGGCCAGTTTGGTCTACATAGTGAGTTCCAGGCCAGTCAGGGCTATGTAGTCTCTAGAGCGAGACAGAGACAGACCCAGCAAGAGATTAGGATGAATAAAATAGAAAAGAAACATCTGTCGCAGTGGGGTGAGTGCCTGTCACACCTTGTAGCTTTCTGTGAACTACACTCAAAGGAGCCAGAGTTTGGGGGACCTTGACAAAAATAGGATCTGGTTAGGCAGGATCAGAAAGGCTACCAGCTGGGCAGGCAAAGGGCCCTTGCCCAGATAGCTTTGGAAGTCAGGATTCTGACAGAAACAAGTGACACAAGATGTTTGCTCTAGGTGGCATGATTGTCTCACAGGGACACTTCTAAAGCTGTACTTCATTTCTTTAGTTTTTTTTTTTAAGACGGTCTTATTATGTAGCCCTGGCTGGCCTGGACCTTACTATGGTAGATCAGGCTGGACTTGAACTCACAGAGTTCCACCTGCCACTGCTTCCTAAGTGCTGGGATTAAAGGCGTGCGCCACTGCACCTGGCTGAAGCTGTAGTTGAATACCCAAAGATGGAAACCCTTGGCCAATGACCATCATCTGTGTTGAACATAGCTTTCTCCTGTACAGATGCAGAAGTAGGTGTGGAGGCTAGAGATGGGGGTCAGCTGGAGAGTGCTTGCCTAGTCTGGCATACACAAAGGCCTGGTTGCCATCTCCAGCCCCACATAAACAGGGCAGATTGGTGCACACTTGGAGTCCCAGCACTCAGGAAGTGGAGGCAGAAGGATTGGGAATTAAAAGTTACCTCAACTACATAGTGAGCTTGAGGCCAGCCTGGACTACATAACACCCTGTCTCAAAAACAACAACAACCCCCCCAAAAAAAAACTGGACATGGAATACACCTTAAATCCCAGTACTCAGAAGGCAGAGGCAGTCTCTGTGAGTTTGAGGCCAGCCTGGTCTACATAGGGAGTTCCAGACAAGCTGTGGCTACAGGGAGACCCTATCTCAAAACACAAAAGGCAAGCATTGGAGCGTGCACATACGTGCAAGTGTGCACAGCATTTCCTGGCCCTTGGGCACCAGGCCTGAACACCATACCCCCTGATACCCAGGTCTCACCAAGGGAACCAGTGTCCTGGCCCAGGCCCAGGCCAAGGCAGCGAAAGCAAAGAAACTACTGGAATAGGGAACTTGTGGAAGAATGCCCGGGGCGACACAGTGGAGCTCCTAGTGGCTAAATCTGAAGCAAAGAAAAGCATGCTGTGGTGGGTGTGGCCCACAGTGCAACATAGCTCCACAGTCTGTATTGGCAGAGATAACAGCAGCAGTGTGAGCCCTTCCTCATTAATTCTGACTAACATAGAAATGGTGCTGGGGACAGGAGCACATCTGACTAGCAGGACTCAGGTGACTGTGGACAAGGTCACCCAAGTTAGTGGCAAACTGTAAAGTGCAAAGAGTCCAGAACGTCTACTGAAGGTATGTGCTGATCACAAAATGAATCACAGTTACATTACAGGGGACATCACTTGGCCACACGGCCATCTCCAGGAACAACATACTGCCGCACATCTGCACATTGGAGGACACAGTTTCACTCTCGGACTGACTTGGCCCCAAGCACAAACAGAAAAATTGAGCACCTGTCGCAGGCTGAGCAGATGGGACGCTATGTCCTGTGGGTTCTGGCCATGAGGGCCCCTGGGAGATGCTTGAAGGCTGCGGGCTTGACTGTGGTGTGGCGCCAGCATTCATTCTGCCCTGAGGTCCTAGGCAGGGTTGTTTTGACGAGTATGCACATATGTGCATGTGGAGGCGCGAGGACAGCTTCAGGTGTTGCTGCTCGTGTGCTGTCCACCCTGTTCCATGTGTTTGGTGTGTGTGCTGTATGCATATGAATGTGGGTGTGTGCCTATGTACATGTGTGTGGAGGCTGGAGGAGGACGTCAGTGTCCTGCTCTGTCCCTCTCCACCTTATTCCCTTAGACAGATCTCTCAGAACCTGGAACAAGGCCGGCAACCAGCACGGCCCTTGGGTTACAGGTACCCCTACAGCCATGCCTAGCTTTTTAAGTGGGTGCTAGGCTCCAAACTCAGGTCCTCCTGCTTGAACAGGAAGCACTGTAATGACTGGGCCATCTCCTCAGCCTTTTTTTTTAAAGTTTATTGACAGGGTCTCACTGTAGCCCAGGCTGGCCTTGAACTCACAGCAATGCTCTGCCTTCTGCCTCTTGAATGCTCTGATTACAGCCATGCACCACCATGGCCTGCCACACTCAA